CAGTTTATGTTCTGACAAGCCCTTTTTGAAAACATTCAAATTGGCCTGTAAGATTAAAGGGTGTTCTCACACATGGGTTCTTGTCAGTGTATGGACTACCTATGCATCAACCTGGAAATAAGGGCTCCTTAAATTCCGCTTTCCAGGTTCATCCTAGGTCAGAGTCTGAAACCACCATCTGAGGCAACTCCCAAGCCCCACTGTAGGTGCCTGCTTTCCTCAAGGGTAGTGGCTGGCGGTCTACAAAGGCAGACCACGTGAACTAGAGGGAGTCAAATCCCAATTCACAGAACAGAGATGTTTCCATGGGGATTACACAGAAGCCACCAGGGATCACGTAGTCCTGGGGGAGGGGGAATATTAGAAGGAGCTTTAAGGCCTTTCCCTTCTCAGGAAAATCAAACATTTGGTTAACATGTGAACTTGAGAATTAACACAGCAAGCATTTTCTGAGGATCAACTTTTATACCAGAAATGAAACTGAGCACAAGCCTGCTCAGACCCACTCCTTTACTTCTTAACCCAAAGGAAGGCTTTATAAACTCAGTATTCCAAACAAAGAGTCTCAGACAAAAGATCAAACAACATACAAGTCACATCTCAGACTGATAATGATGGGCTGGAATTTAAATGCTCTGTGTTGTCTGTTAAAGTTGCAACCACCGGAGCCAGGTTTTGGGAATCTCCCCAGAGCTGGCTTCTAATTCCTTCCCCTTGGGCAGCTTGTAGCAAACCCTTATGTTGGCCTCTGGGTTTGACTGCATACCTTGAGTCCTATTGCTTATTCAAATTCTGTCATAATGTGGTGTCTTTCTGGGCTAATTAATTAATTAATTAATTAACAGGAATCAAACTCAGAACCTTGTGCTTGCCAGGCAGGCCCTTGTGCCATGGCACTACATCCCCAGCACTTCCCTGTACATTTAAACCCAAGGACGAAGTGTAGCTGGCTCCATGTAGTGATTTAGCTTCTTTCTGAGGAGGCTGCCAAGTGAAACCTCTAGACCTGGCTCACACTGTCCCACTCACTATCCACCCAATATACACCACTTCGAATGTCCTCTCCTTTTAAATGGAATTATACTTTGGTTACATAAGGTTTACAAAAAATGCAACACATTGCATGCTCTCACAAAATGTATGTGGTGGAGAGAAGACAGGACTACACATTCAGGGGGCCGGGGAGATGGCTCAGAGGAATGAATGCTTCCCTGGCAAGTGCAAAGGCCTGAGTTCAATCCCCGGTTCCACCAAAAAATAAACAAAAAACAAAAAACAAAAGAACAACAACAACAACAAAAAACAACCAGGACCACACATTCAATGTCACAGATATACAATGACATTTCCACCTCGGTGTCTGTTAGACAGTGCAGGGAGGAGCACTTATGGGGTTCTTGGCTGTAATTTAAGCTTCCCGTGAACTTGCAAACACTGATGTCCCTCTCTGTGTCTTAATTTACTTCTCTTTAAAAAGGGGATCCTACTGGTGCAAGGCTTTCATAACTCTTAAGCCATCCTATCTTACTCAAGGTGATTAGAATTCTGTCTTATTCACCCAATGCCTATCTAGCCAACAGGCACAATAATCAGTCTCTTGCTGAATGAATGAATTCTTTTTTTTTTTTTTTTTT